ACAAAATTATAAATAAAAGATGACAAAAATTTACTAGAAAATGGCATACTAAATATTTAAAAAAGCACCCTCGTAGCCAATTTCACGAAAGCCATTTAAGTGAGTGAAAAATGACTAACTTCAAATTTTATATGGAAATTCACAGAAAATAAAAAATCATTTTTCATTTAAAGCGCAGGTTAAACCCACAGTATACAGTAAACCAGCCATTGACAATATGCTTATTTGAAAATTAATACATGAGATATTGTGAATGTATAGGATTTATTTGTCATTAACCCATAGGCAGCGACTGATGCAAAAGTACCCACAAATGTTTGTTGATATATTTGACATGTAAATTTGAACAGCAAAATTCGTAAAAAAATACTAATAAAACAAAAAGATTTTTGATTACTACGTGGGTAGTGGGCGTGGTTATTGGCAGATTTCGCCAAAGTTTAACACTAACTTATACCAAAGGCAACTTCGACACCGACTTTCGTTAAAATATCTAAATTTTGTTCGAGTTAGCGTGTTTACAAACAGAGGGCTGAAATAGTTCATCTCGTCATTCTGAGTATTTTGGTATATATGTATTATACGGTTAACAAACGCGCTTACTTATCTGCATAAACCGTCTTTATTTGTATTAATTCATGCATTATCCTCTTTCAAATGTGAATAAGCGGCTGAACAAATACATACAAATTTCGCGCATTTTAAATTAGAGTTGTACCTTAAGCTAAGTAATATTTGTTTTACCGCCTAATCGATGTGACCATTTTAAAAAGTCAGCCCACCATTACTCACTCAAAGTTGTATTCGGAACACGGTTTGACTTATGTAGGATATAAACCAATACATTCAAGCTAAATGTCAAATAAGCATATTTACATTTTTTGTTTTGGCTATCTGGATTACTGTATACTGTGGTTAAACCCATGATTCATGGTTATTGAATCATGGGTGAAACCAATGAATGGGAAGTCAAGAGCCACCGAGTTAGCAAATAGATTAAAATCCTGTATAGCACTCGCAATACGAGCATTACCCAAAAAGATAGTTTGGTGATTCTCCCCATAGAAGGGATATTTCAGCTAATCCTATCTAGCAAATAGGGGCAATCAATAGCCCCATTAATGATACCATGGGTAACTGATAAATATAGAACTGTCCCACGATTAGCTAATAATAATAGTAGATACGCACTTACACATATTTTAGTGTTTGGCCGAGCTTCTCCTCCGATTTGTGGCGTGCGCCTTGATGTCACACATAGGGAAGGAATCTACAGTTCTACGCCGACTGCGAACGGCGATTGTAATATTTTTATGAGAAGCAATTTTTCATGGCAGAAATACACTCGGGAGGTTTTTTTTGTTTTTTTTTTTTTTTTTTTGGACCGAAGTCCAAACATAAAGGAATGACTAGTTAGGAAAAGATTTTCGGCTTAAATTGAAGTCTATGGCATACTTTTGGGAGTTCTGAGAGAAAGCTGCAACAACTTTGGAACAGGGTTTCGCCCTAACAGGAAAATAGTTGTTTTGTATGCTAGTTGGTTAAGAAACTTCTGAGTGGCTTTTTCTTGGCTTTTGAGTTAAAGTTACTTTGAACAAAAGTACATATGTATAAGCTACTGAGCACCAGGTCTTTCCGAGGTTGATACTTAGATTAATTTTGATGCTTTCGTCAAATGTCTTTTTAATCGTATTCTGCATCTTGGGGATGTTTCACCGGTTATTATTCGACAAATAGTAGTATCCACATAAAGTACATAATAAATAATATATAAACAGGGCGAAAAACATAAATGTAAGCAACTATTACTTATACACACGTATCCATAAAAAAGCACAATCAATCAAAATATCATTCAATGTACACCGCTTGTCAAGTAAAAGAAGTACAATGTTCCAGATTTGCTACGATAGCCCACAACAAATGGTACGCTCAAAAGGAATTCTGTTGATCTTATGGCGCACACATGCAACGGAAAAATCTTTCCAGTGCGTATTGTATACTTTTCTAAATAGGAAGGAATGCAACAAATTTATTTAAAAAAATTAAAATTTCCTCAAAACAGTACTTACCCACAAACTGTCGCAGGCTTATACTTGTTTCGGGCGATGTGTGATCAGTCAGGACTTGTCTAATCTCCTCATCGATTTCTGGAAATCGCTTTCGAAGTCTAATGAAGTAAAGTTTCACTTTCGCAGAGTATACCATTTAGTGCATTGAAATTATTATTTTTTTTTTATGTTGAAAAATATGTATGTATGTAAAAAAATAAATAATTTTTGTCCAACGCTCCTTGACTTATGTTTGACGGTTTGACTTCAGAGTTTCCTTGGTCATATTATTTGTAATTTCTTTTTTTTTACTAATTATTCTATTTCGTCTCCGACAGTGCTTANTTTCTTTTTCTGTTGAGAAATATGTATGTATGTAAAAAAATAAATAATTTTTGTCCAACGCTCCTTGACTTATGTTTGACGGTTTGACTTCAGAGCTTCCTTGGCCATATTATTTGTAATTTCTTTTTTTTTACTAATTATTCTATTTCGTCTCCGACAGTGCTTACGAAGATTAAGGCTAACATCCCCGCCATCCAACATATGCGAAGTTTACTACAGCTGCCATGTAAAGGAGCGCAAATTCAGTGTAGGATTTGTGCCGAGGGATAGAATTCGTCGCCAAGTACTGTCGTTCACCACGGTGGACGAGAGTCTCGCCACAATGCGCATCGTTCATTTGGGTCCACGCCTCGACGGAAGGTCGAGCAGTCTAAATACCTATTCAATGAGCGCATCGAGCACACCTATGAGAACTGACCCAGTCACGGTATAAATAAAAGTCGTGCTTGACCATCAGGCAAGAGTGGACAGGACGCAATCTCTGTGGCCATCATATGAAAATTCCTCACCGTCGAAAAAATAGTCGCATTTTAGCAAGCCCGAAAGAAAAACTGTTACGTTGAATAATGTCACGAAGCTGCAAAAATGAGATGCCGGCCACAGAGCCACACTGCGATCGAGCGTGGCGCGCGTTCGGTAGTATTAATATAGGGAGCTCAAAAGGTCTGTGATACATACCAAGAAAAAAAGGGAGAGCCCGAATATCGTGAGTTCGAAGAGCTTATTTGTGGTAATAGTTTGTGAAGCACGCAGCTGGTCTTGTTGTTGAGCTTCCGCAAGTAAACGGCATAGCCGACCGGCGCCTTCTTCAACTCGAAAATATCTTTGTTGTGAGCCTCCCTTAAAGTCATGTAGTACCTTTAATAATTTTATCGCCTTTTCGTAGTTTTCCGCATTNTGTTCACCACGGTGGACGAGAGTCTCGCTACAAGGCGCATCGTTCATTTGGGTCCACGCCTCGACGGAAGGTCGAGCAGTCTAAATACCTATTCATGTAGTACCTTTAATAATTTTATCGCCTTTTCGTAGTTTTCCGCATTAATTTACAACGAGCGGATAACATCCAATGCGATACCACTTAGGCATGACATCAAGTGTTCGAACTTCTCGACGTTCGTCAGTACCCGCTCTTGAGCGACGCTGTCATAAAACATGGCCCAAAGCAAGGCATGGCGGCAAGCGCGATTTAACTGGACACGATGACGTGTGCGTACCTAGTTCGTCTATCATAGAATGCTTTCGCTTAGAGTATCTGGTTCACGTTGCGTCTGCCCTTTAAGTTGTAACTGCGTTTCTTCGAATTGCGTCTGCAGCCTGTCGAGTTGCGTCCTCTTTGACCTTCAATACGCTGATTTGTTTCAGAAACCAAAACCTTTTTCGTTTCAAGAACATGAAGCTTGAACTCTCTCCTCCATCGCTTTGCGGTTTTGGCCTTTTGTGCGGTTTTGGCATTTTGCTTTACTTCAACTTGAAGCCGGTTGCTTGCAACGAGTGCACTGCTACCCAACTTGCTACTCAAAAACGCGAATATGTGGTAGATTTCAGACCTTGTGTGGTAGATGCTCAAAAAAGTTGTAGATCTACCACAAAGTGGTAAAAGTCCGATATTCTGGAGATCTGTATACGAAACCACAATTTCAAACTTGATTTCCCAAAAATTTAAATTTTTACACATTCATGTTTCTGGCATATGGGCGAAGATACGTATGTTACCCAAAGAATACCATATGAATATCGCTAATATGGTAATGCATTTTATTNGGGATCTGTGTACGAAACCACAATTTCAAACTTGATTTCCAAAAAATTTAAATTTTTACACATTCATGTTTCTGGCATATGGGCGAAGATCTGCTACCCAAAGAATACCATATGAATATCGCTAATATGGTAATGCATTTTATTTTTATTGACAATTTTGTAAGTGAAGTGAAGAATGCGTTCGGTCGGTTTTGCTGGGTAACAGATATGCATACATATCTGTACCGTTCAATTAAAGTAGCTTAAATGACTTTAGATGGTTTGACTTTGAAAAAAAAAAAAATTAGTTTTACTTGAAAACTTTTATATTTTTACTAAGCTTAAAAAAAAACATTTTGNATTTCAAGAACATGAAGCTTGAGCTCTCTCCTCCATCGCTTTGCGGTTTTGGCCTTTTGTGCGGTTTTGGCATTTTGCTTTACTTCAACTTGAAGCCGGTTGCTTGCAATGAGTGCACTGCTATCCAACTTGCTACTCAAAAACGCGAATATGTGGTAGATTTCAGACCTTGTGTGGTAGATGCTCAAAAAAGTTGTAGATCTACCACAAAGTGGTAAAAGTCCGATATTCTGGGGATCTGTGTACGAAACCACAATTTCAAACTTGATTTCCAAAAAATTTAAATTTTTACACATTCATGTTTCTGGCATATGGGCGAAGATCTGCTACCCAAAGAATACCATATGAATATCGCTAATATGGTAATGCATTTTATTTTTATTGACAATTTTGTAAGTGAAGTGAAGAATGCGTTCGGTCGGTTTTGCTGGGTAACAGAAATGCATCTGTGCCGTTCAATTAAAGTAGCTTAAATGACTTTAGATGGTTTGACTTTGAAAAAAAAAATTAGTTTTACTTGAAAACTTTTATATTTTTACTAAGCTTAAAAAAAAACATTTTGAACTACAACTATAGCTAGTTAATCGTTAAAACATTGTTTCGGAACCCAATAAAATGTTGCTTTAAAAGGAAAAGAGCCTATCCCGATATATATGTATGTGCATAAATATGTAGTAGACACCATGCATTGATCTCGCTGTGCTCGCAATAGCTGACATGCAAGACTGTACTGATTAACATGAGCTATGAATATATCGGACATATTCTTAACAAATTTATTAACTCAAAATTTTTCACTTATCAGAAAACGTGAAGAACTGTTTCTAAGTGAGCGCTTATCATATGTATAACCAAATTGCTTGCTGTTTTTTTCGCATCAAATTACAACAGATTATTGCTTCAACTTTAACCGGATGGTGTACACAATATAAATACTTATTAACTCGGAACACTCTTATAACATAATATAAAAAGTAACAAATTTTGAGTTAAGCGCTTTTGAAGGATGTATGCGATNGATTGTTTGTTGTTGATGTTTTTTTCGCATCAAATTACAACAGATTATTGCTTCAACTTTAACCGGATGGTGTACACAATATAAATACTTATTAACTCGGAACACTCTTATAACATAATATAAAAAGTAACAAATTTTGAGTTAAGCGCTTTTGAAGGATGTATGCGATATATGTATGTATGTACCCTGCAAGGAAACCGCGGACTAGTGAATCAAATTTCTAGTTCCGTACTAGGTCTTTATCGCCAAAAAGGAACTAGTCCGGTAGGAAATAGATCCCCACCAGTCGAAAATCGGTGAAAAGTGGTACTTTTAAAAGACAATTTTTTT